TTAGTGTGGCGGATATGTGCATGGATGTTTCCGAAGAGGGTTAAAAGCACCAAATTGTGCACAGTAGCATCTTTTTATGAGTAGAACAACATGCAAAAGTGGGGCCATCGTGAAACTGTTTTTTTAGAGAGTTACGACGCTATTAGCATTATTTGCTATTAAATTCTACTACATCAAAAAATGTGAAATTTTGAATTCAATCGCGACAAATATAACTTGCATCATCAGAAAGCTTGTAAAAAACTACATAAAAGACTTTTAAACAGTTTTTTGATTCTTCAAATGGTTATTGCTGTAAATTAGGCACATTATCTCGCTAAAAGTCCCTAATTAATTATTCGATGTTTGAAAATGCGTTTTTAACAGTTTATAATTCGAAAACTATTTCAGAAATCAAAAAACTGTCTAAATGTCTTATATGCAGTTTTTTATAAGCTTTCTGATGATGCAAGTCATATTTGTTGTAATTGAATACAAAATTTCACATGTTTTGGCTATAATAGAATTCAATAGAAGAAAATCACTAATCACCCGTTTTCAGGAGTTAGCAGCAAAATAGCGATGGCCCCACTTCAAATATCTATTAAGCAAATAAAACTACATCAATTGTAAAAGTTTGATGCTTTTAACCTCAACGGGAACTACTGATCAATAATTTTACACATATCCGCCTCACTATTTTGAAATAGTGCAATGAATCGTTATATCTCAAGGTTAATCTGACATTCAATTTTTCATGCTCAGTAGCCTGAGATTGAACTGACGCCTTAAACACATGAACATTTTTTGGTATAACGTAATCATTTCTGAAATATTCAATTTTGACAAACTATTCAGTTCATTTCACATTACAGAAAAATGAATTATTTTATAACAATTAACAGCTACAACTTTTTCCGTAACAAACGAAATTAGAATATCAAGAAGCAAATTAAATACATTGATGTTTTTAATTTTCAGGAATACGAAATATTTCATCAACGTGCGAAATCACACATTTCATACTCAGAATGAATATGAGATATGAATCAGCTGTTTCATACCTGAAATGACATGAAACATTTTGCAAGACATTGCCTATTTCTATCGTGTGTTTCGTTGACAGTCTGAGATTGATCTAAATTGTCGCTCAAAATACATTAATTAATAAATATTAACTAGATAGACACATGTGAATCTATCTAAAATTCTATAGCTGAAATATAAGAGTCTTAATTTACTTTATATAACCCCCAAGCATGCCTTTCAAATACGATTGAATGAGAACTTTTAGTAAGTCCAGTTTCCCTTTAGTCGTAACTTCGTGAACATATCAAGATTAATAGAGTGTCGGTATATCTCTCTACAGTATAAGTAAAGACTGATTTGCATTCATCATACTGAAGACGAGATACAGTATATCCATTCTATTTCACATTGCCGAACATGATTTGATCACGACATGAATGACGGTCAAACGGAAACCTGGCATGACCGACTATAAAAACTATGGAACTTGACAGACTACTGAGTTTTACTTCACATATTTTTCTTCGTGACGTGTTCGTAAACTTTCACATATAAATAGAGAAGAAAAGAAGCAAGAGTATGCATGACAAGTGCTCGACATTTTGAAATATGCATTATATAACTCATCATGAAATTGATTATATAACAAGTGTTGATCAATTACTTAAACAATAGATGAAATTTGTTTGTTGTATAAGTGAACTAGCCAAAAAACAGGTCAAACACAATTTGCTGGTCTGTCAACCTTCTCCACCCCCTAACTCTCTACATACATTACGATATATACAATATATAATTTCAGCTACATTTGTTTGATGGCATAAGCTGATAGCTATATATTTAACTTATTATTTTCCCATGCAAATTGTGCCAAGTGACGCGTTGTGAGTCAGGGTAACATGAATCATGAATCACAACATGAATGTACTTTAGAATTTCGATATATTTATCAACCATGTTTAGCCACATATTTTTAAAATAGTCATTTTATCCAGCTGAAACTTCGAATAGATATATGCGGGAACGTACTGTCTTCCTAATTGCATTGTATTACACCATACACTAAGATGTATAATGTACATTGGCGCAGCCAGCCCCACAATTGAGTCCCGTTATGCAAATTCAAAATTATTATCATTATTCATTTCTTTAGAAATTGTTTGTTTTCACAGTCAACGCATGAACACGAAAATATTTGCATATATAGCGGCAAAATCGTCGGACTGGCTACGGTACTGGTAATGTACCGTTGATACAACTAATTACAACGAAAAAAATAGCATAAAGACAGATACATGCAGATACCCTTCTGCGCTAAATTGTTTATAAGAGCCATTAATTAAGATTTGCGAGACAAGTTACACACGCTATTAAGTAAGGATTGTGGCAACCGTTGCGTACAATAAAACTATTTCAGCATTGTGCAACGCTTGCTGCAACTTATCTCGCTATTGTCTTGGCATTCGAAATATTTACTTGCTATATACGGTATAGTTTTGGTATCCGAATTAACTTGGATCGAAATATATTGGTGCTTAAAAGAGACAAAAACAGTCCACAAAAGATAGATTTACAATACGGCTTACCATGAGATTGAAAGATGAGGTGTTGCTTGATGAAATAGAAAGCAAAGATCCGAAAAGAAAGTGCTTTGTTTAGATTGACTGTGTGAAGTAAGATGAAAAAGACAACCACGCAAGCTTGCATGTAATTTTGAGGTGGAAGACACAACTCGTGAATACCGTACAAATTTGGAAAGATTTAACTTACGCAGGTATTGTTTTTAGAATCGCAACTTTCATTACAAGACCATCAACACCAGATTGCAGATTGCAGTTGCATTTTGGAATACGGTAAATTACGGATCTGGTTAGTTCGACAGCAAGTTTTGAATTAGGCAAACTGGAATTAACAATAGTCCGTGTGTTGTGACCTCGAAAAGTGTCTAGAAAACGATTTTCATTGAGCATGTCTTAGATCTGAAATATTTTTACGAGAAATAACACTTTCGAACACGCTGAGTTCAAATCCGAAAAGTTCTCGCTCCGTATATAGACCTGCAGTTTTCTGACAAACTGCTATTTTATCTTCACAAATTTCACAGCAAATGTTTTCATTGTTCAACGACACGGATCGATGACGATACACAATTATGTCAATCATGCAAAACGACCAATTTCTATTAACCAGTCTTCCTTTCAAAAGATCAGTTTAAATTTGTTCGAAATTATATTTTGAGTTATGTAATTTAATGCGTGTTGGACGTAAACAACGTATCTTGTCTACAACTTTGAGAGAGTACAGATAACTCTTTCTAAAATCCTTAGTTCTGGCTATATCTCTACAAAATCACAAGGACGTGAATGTTAAGTCTTTGGGCTATGTCTCTGGGCTAAGCAATAATTCCTTACATGCGATCAAACTGTTTTATACAAAAACGTAAAACGGTAATCTTATGTAACGGATCAGCATTTAAATTCCCAACAGTTTCCGAGACGTAATTCAAGAGATAACTTATCATTGCATTTGAATTATTACATCAGTTAGCGTTATACTGTGCGATAAGCGACATGCACACATTTCTGCACTTCGTCGTAAGTATACTATATTTGTCTTTATATGTGAACATTTATTCTTATAGTTTAGGGTTTTTTTACGATTGATCCTGTCGTAAGTCTTCCACCAGCAAACAATCGACAATATTTCAATTTATCGTTGTCTTTGCCGTTACGTTGGCTTCGCGTTACTTTTGTTTCAAATACCTTGATCGCGTTAAAAGAGTTATTTTTTAGGCCAGTGACATAGCCAAAAGACTTAACATTAACTTCCTTGCGATTTTATAGAGATATCGCTAGAACTATAAGGATTTTAGAAAGCATTATCTGTACTTTCTCAAAGTTGTGGACAAGATGCGTTGTCCGGTCTTTTGTTAAAAGGGAGACTGGTTAATAGAAAATGGTCCTTTTGAGTGACAGTAATCGTGTATCGTCATCGATCCGTGTGGTTGAACAATAAAAAATTTGTCGTGAAATTATTGAAGATAAAATAGCAGTTTGTGAGAAAACTGCGGGTCTACGGAGCGGGAACTTTTCGGATCTAAACTCAGCGTGCTTGAAAGTGTTAGTTCCCGTAAAAATATTTCAGATCTAAGACATGCTAAATGAAAGTGAACGATATCAGGACGCAGCGGACGGCCTATATAATTTACGACTATATTACGACTATCACTATAATCAATGCTAAAAAGACAGACAAAAAAATATAAGATTTAGCCGTGAAAGTATAAAGAATAAAAATAGCCTTAGTGTCACAAATAATTAGAAACAAAATTTAATTGTTTTCAAAACCTTTTGTTAGGATGTAATGAAAGGAAACTATTAATTCACTTAATTACATGGTTGAAATTCAACATTGGAGAACAGACTTATGCAAGCACAATAATTATCAACTTATCACCATCACGCAGAATGTTCTGCACTGTGGTCAGAAGTGAAATGCATTTCATCGGCTACATCTTCGTCACTGCTCTCGCTAGAGTAAGGTGACATTTGATCACCATCATCATCGTCAATAATGAATTCATCCTCTGCAGTTTCTGTTTGAAATGGCGCTGCAATAATCTGTGTTCTTTGTGATTGATGATTTCTTTGCGCATGCAATGGGAAATCTGAGGGCAATTTGAAATTAGGAGGCAACCCCCGTTTAAGTCCGTATAGATTTATGACACTCACCTTGCCAGAGGACTCAAGACAAACAACTTTGTTTTCGTCAGGAGACAATGCCATGCTGATTATAGATTCTAGTCTTACGTATGCAATTGATTTCTTCTCAACAAAATCGAACAAAAACACTATACCGTCGATGCCATAAGAAATCAAATAACGATTTCCTCTTAAAAAACCACAATATTCTACTTTACCAAAGTGATTGTGTGGCACTTTCCACAAGGCGTCCGAACAATTGAGAGAATAAATAAAAGTTTCATTAGCAACGCACAAAGCTAGTAGAGTACTGTCAGACGACACTGTACAATGACTACAGGTGTCAGATGCTCTGCTATTCACTGCATATGGTACAGCAAGCATTGGACAGCAGCTAAAGACTTTAGGTGGGTAATCTAAAATCAGAACAGAAGACGCATTACAAAAGATCAGTTTGCTGTTATCTGAAGAAAAGCAACAGCAATCAACGTGTATGACGTATGGGAAAGGAAGGAGAATGGGGTCGGTCAAAACGCCCTTCTTGACATCCCATACGTAAAAAGTCTGGTCATAAGTGCTTTTTTGGATACAAAATAAAAGCAAGGAATCATCAAGTGAAAATGCGAGACAAGGAACAGTGTGTTCACACTCCTCTGTGACTTTGAAGATTGAGCAAAGAAACTTTCCCCCGTAGTTAAACAACAATATCTGACAACTATGATGTATGGCAATTAATTTTCCATCACGAGAAAAGATACATTTCTCTACAATGATTTTTTCTGAATAATCTAGCTCTAACATTTCCGTTTCACACGCCATGACTATATCGCAATGGTCTAACTTCCACAACGTAACCTTCTCGTCAGAACAAAGGATCATAATTGTATGAGCTGATGTGAATGTAACAGCAACTGGCTTACTAGTTAAGCAATTTAGAAGAAATTTCCCAGGCAAATCTCTTAATAAAACAGTTATCCTTTCCTTAGTGTCACCAAAAATATACCCAATGCCCTGGCCCTCTTCAGATGCGCAATGTACAGGATATAATCCTGAAACACTACGAAACTGAGTCCCAGTCTGCAAAGAAAGAGCGTACAGATTTTGGCTGGGCAAAAGTGTAATATACACAAGCACATTACCGTCACTTGTAAAAGCATGATCATGAACCTTTTGTAAAAGCATGATCTTGAACCCTTCTTCATACCTTAACAAATTTCCACCTTCATTTACTTTTTTAAACAAAGTAATTGCTCCGCCGTATTTCCGTGCTAACCACTTCCCAGCTTTTGAAAGAAGACCGGTGTTGTCGGAAATACGATTATAACATTCCACAGGTGTGTTTGTGATTAAATATGGAAGACATTTTTCACCATCACGAAAATATAACGCATATATCTTAGCCATATATTTATCTATGTCATGCACCACATCTTTCTTTTCTACACTTGAAAACAATGAATGAAATGTTGGTGTTCTCGCTAATTGGTCTTGGTAGTAAGCAGCGTTTAATGAAGCAACACTTGCAAGTGTACAGCGAGAATCGCAAATCATACGTTCAAAACGCGTTATCGCAGGAAACAAATGCCAAAGGTAAAAGAATGGTTTTAACTGCGAGGAAAACATTTCCTCTACCACAGGTCTTCCAGTCTGCACATTCCAGATTTGATATTCAAATAGGACGGCATAAAAAAGAGCAATACGATTACGAACAGGCGTTTTAGTCCTTTCAAATTGAGCACATATTGAGAATAATTCGCATGATAGGTCTGGACAACAACCCTTTGAATGAAAAAAGTTCTTGTCAAATAAATGTACATCATTGCTTTGATCACGTTTTCGTGTACGTTTTTGTGCACGTAAAAAAAGCAATTTGTCATCAATTTCTTGGAAAAACGTGTCCCCTTCAAAAGAACGTTCACATTCAATCTTACCGCCAAGACACTGGAATTCATACACGTTGTTTTGTTCAAGGCCACATTCTTGTGTGGCCCACTCGGAAAATATACGAAACAGGCAATGAAAGTGGAATTCTTTAGTTGGTTTCGAAACAACCGCGATGTAGTTACCATCATCAATGAACGAAACCCATGCATAACACTTGGAATTTCCTGAAAACTGGGTTTTCTCCACAACACGTTTCTCCTGCACGGAAAACCACCTGTCAAGCCTTCCAAAAATCACAAACTTGTCATCTGGCGAAAATTCCAAATGCGACAAATTTACATCCATTACTTCAACAGGACCCGCAACCTTTTTAAAAGTATGTGCATCGTACAGAAAAATGGATCGCCCTTTCCCTCCAGCAAACAACCTCTTATCATGAGAAATTGCACAGCAGTCCAAGTCACGAAGTGTTGAATCGGTAGAGAAAACAACATATTCAAAACTTAACTCCATCCAAGAGGCTGACATTTTGTTAGGTATGAACTTTTCTTGAACAAGTTTAGATGCATTACTAAGACAGGAGTAAAGAAGTTCAGGACATCCAACAATAACATACTTATCTCGTTTAAGAACTGAACAAATGTCATCAAGAATAGTTTTTTCCGCCTCATCAAAAGTTAGCTTCAGAACAGAAAACTCTAAGTCTTCAATAAGCGAATAAATTCCAATTCTGTTGTTCTGTATTCGCTGTTGAAGAAATCGGTGGTTCGTCAAGCAATCGAAAACAGTTTGAGAACTCATAGAATCCTGAACACAACACTTATAAAAGAAACGAAATCCGACATCCAAACTATAATTAATTAAATCAGGCTTGGCAAATGAAATAGGGTCTCTACCTTGTTGGAGAAAAGCATTTAGAAATTCAACAATAATACTTCTGAAATATGCTTTTGCTTTATTTCTGTCAACAAACAATCTTCGAGGCACCTTTTGCTCATCTGTTAACCATACCGGAATAAGACTGTGAAGAAATACAAAGGTCTTATCTGTGGTTCGCAACGCTACAAACTGTGAGACGGCATCAATTACTTCCTGTTCATCAAAAGAAGAGTTCTCTTTTTGCAAAAGGAACGAAATAAAGAAAACAGGAAGTGGAGAAGGCGCCACTAAAGCACAACCAAATAATTTCTTATAAAAGTCTCCACCCACTTTTTCGTAAATACGTTTGAAATTTTGGCGAAAATAATCGTTAATATTTTCAGGGAAAATATCACCGTCCAGTTGTTCTGAATTTTGAAGAATTTCTACAATGTAGAATGCATACAAAAACATTCCGTTGCACTTGCCTGTCATTTCTTCTGCAGAATACGAAAGATTTGAGAAGTTTAGCCTTTTCTCTAAATATCGTCGAATATCCTGCTCATGCTTTTGATAAAAGCCTGCACTGCCACTACTTCCTGCACAAATTCTAATACATGGATTATACGTTCTCAGTCTAGACTGCACGGTGTCTTCAGGGCGACTAGTGATAAAGAAAACAAGCCAATTCGGAAGTAGGGGAAAACGATTCATTATGAGATCAAGAAAATCCTCCCTGGACCAATATTCTGCCTCATCTAAAGCATCAATAACAACCAGTTTTCTCTTACAAGGACTGCATTTATTTAATGGCTCTTCCAACAATTTAGTAAATAGCTCGTGAACGCCTAGCTTAGCATTAGCTAACATACTTTGTATACCAGCCTCCCCTCCCACTACTTTATCGTATTGACTATTACAATTACGTAATTGATAAGCAACAGTACCAAGCAGATACCTGGGATCACGACGTGTGCCATCATAGTGACGACAAAAGTAAGCCGCAGCCATATTCCCATCATTCTTTGCACGCTGAGCTATGACAGCAGCCATGACACTTTTACCAACTGCGGCATCACCCAGCAGTACATAGGCTCTCGACTCACAAGAATCACAAAACCACGTATCAAAATCATTCAAAAGCCACAGTCTTGTATCCCGATCATATCGTTTAGCATAATAATCAATGTCAGCTTCACAACTGGAGAAATCTGAAAATTGCAATATAAACCAACGTTTATTAAAAGTGGACGCGTTCCAAAAGTGGTCGCTATCTTTGAAATTTTTATGCGTTAATTTCAGTACTATGTGACCTCAAAAGAAAACAACTGGTCGACCTGTTCTTAGTTTTGCATTTTGGACGTATTACTGTATTTTTATAAAGTATGTACTTATCTTATTAAAAATCTCATTAATAATTCACGAGAAAAATACAAAAGAAATGAATGTTTAATTAATGCTTGTAAATCGGATAAAGATTTCTCCTTATTTACATAAACTTCAGCATTGATTTTCTCGACATTGTTTATTTTTAAAATTACTTCGTCAATGAACTCATAAGATGGATGGTTTTTTAAGCTCGTTAAAACATTTTCCTCGAGAAACAAACTGCTCGAGTTTGTACACCGGATAAAGATCGGCTGCTCATGTTTTAACTAGTACTTAAATAGTTTGACATGTAATCTGAACAGGCATTTTGCAAGTTTGAACGACTTCTGTTTTTAGAAGCTTTGTAAGTTAATTTTCATTGAAACATTTAGAAATAAGTTATGATATTTTTTCTTTTATTATTACGACAATGAAGAACTAGTTTTTAAATCATTTACAAGGATGAAATTTTGTATATAATATTTCTGCTGTTGTTTGGCTCTGGAAATAAAAAAATAGTTTCCATTCCTCGGAAATTGCTATTTTTCCCCATTCTCTCCGACGCTACTAACTTCCCGACAAAGGGCTTTCGCTCAAAACGTCGAAATCTCTCTTGTATTTTTCAGTTAGTTGAATCTCTCTCAATCCGCAGTTTCTGGTGTTAATTATTGTCACTATACCTACGCTGGCACAGATCGTTTGAGTTTATATTTTTCTCGTGTCATTTTATAATTATTGTAACATTATTCGAGTGTTCGTAACATTACTTTCGAATCAGGTAAAATTAAAAAGGCTGTACTAAGAAGGACGGGGTTTAGAGAGGAGGCACCTGGCTGTTTGGGTGTAATCCGCTGTCAGATTTTTCGTGTTTTCATAACTATTTTTGGTAAAAACATGTCATATAATATAATAATAAAAATCAATATACCTGCTACGTTGATAATATATCTGTTGTAAAGAAAAACATAATGTGGCGTATAGGCAAAATTAATAATATATTACCATAAGAACTAGTCTGGCCCTCTGTAACACTTTGTTGGACAGACGTTTGACTTGTCTGCAGGTGTTCCACTTCTTGTTGCAGAACTTCTTGATTGGTTGTTAGTTGAGTAATTTTGTCAGCAGTGATACTCATGTTATTCTCAATCCGTACAAATCGCTTCTCGCATTCTTGTAACTCAAGTTTAACATTGTGTAGCATCACCCTCAAGTTATTTATTTCTTCTAAACTTTCAAATTCCATCTTCTCTACTTCACTTGACAATTTATTGACATGCTTTTGTACCACTTTGACCAGTTCAGAATCAATGGTAGCGTTCATGCACAATACAATACCTGAAATAGAAAGAAAATAATCACAAAAGAATTCCTGGCACACTGAGCATTTTGCGGTCTCGGAAACTTTGTACGCATCACAAAAGGAAGTTGTTACTTCCCCCACACCTACAGTAACCCCATCCAGCTATTATAAAGCATTAGCCGCTCTGTAGTTCATTATTGCTTTCAATTTTAATAATACATTTTTATCATTTACTGCTCTTCGATCCCTAACTTTTGTTGTACAAGCGTTGCTTTAGTATAATCGAATAAATGAAATTATGCAACCAAAAAAGGTCTCGGAGATTATACTTACATTCTATTGAATATAGGCAGAAGTGAGCAAGATGTTGCTAAGCACAAGTAAACGCAGCTTTTAAAGGAATGAGAATCCAAACTTCGCAAAAATAAATAGTCTAAGCTTTGGGAGCAGCGGAAGATGGGGCTTAATTGAAAGAAATTTTAAGAGCAAACGTCGATACAGTATTTTTTTATACAAGCGTTTCTGAGGTTTATGTTGTGCACTCCAACGAACAAAATACAAGAGTCAAATAATAATAAAAAAATAGAATGAATCTCTCACAGTGGACACATAATGATAGGTAAAAGCAACATTGTCCAGCTTACATATGATACGCGGCTACACGTCAGCAAAGTATAGCTAGCAAAAAGACAACATTGAATTTGAATCGGCATGCAACCTGAAACTAAATACGGAAAAGTTTTAAATTTATTTAAAATTTGGGACATTTTTTCAATATATACTCCATAATGTCTAAGATGTTTAACCTGGTGCTACGTTGTGTCTATACTCATGTTAACTGTTAACTTTTCAAGTATTAAGAAACATATTAATAAAATATAAGATACACTTTGATTTGTTGAAGTGGCCAGATTGTGCAACAAATAGCAAATACAGCCAGATAAACTTGCAATACTAGCAATTGCAAGTGTCTATTAAAATAGCAACATGCAACAAGAAAGGGAAACGTTATTATATGTACATGGCATATTTGAGAGGTTCAGATCTGACTTCCACTACCGTGACCCCTACTTTTAGGGGACTATTTACCAATCAGATGCGTTTGATATATCAGATCAACCAATTAGATGCAAGCTAAGCCAGTGAGAGGTAGTGGTAGTAGAAGTCATATCTGAAGCTTTCTATTAGATAGTTCTGTACCTTTCGCTTCCCAGTCATTAAGATCTGCTAGGACTTTACTTTCATCTGCAGGCGATAAACCCACTTCAGTCACAAGCTGTTTCATCTCGTCAAATCTCTTCTTGAAGTTTGCTTCATTCCACTCAGTAAAATTGCAATGTCCCCAAGCATTTCTACCTTCTCTTACAACATTTGCCGCAGTTTGGACGACAGGAGAAAAGACAGGAATTCTGCCAAACAAATTGAGCACAGCAGACGCATCGCAGGTCTCGTCAAATGCATTAAACTTCGCTATATGGTTCAGGAGGAAGAGCTTACCAAAGTCAACATGCGAGGTAACTTTGTAGTCAAACGTGGAGTAATCATAGCTTTTATAGCGTGACGGTTTCAACTTTCTGTCATTAGCATTAATATTCTCATATTTCATGCCATTACGTGTTGGATACTTTGAACCAGGAAAACTGTGCGATGTCTGACAATCAATACCGTGGTTTAATTTGAGATCATTGTATTCTTTCAAAATTTCTTGCTCTAATATGGGGCGTATGGAGGGAACTAGAATATGGTTGAGGGAAATTCCAAAGACAATCCATCGTTTATTGTCCTTAGTTAATGTTGTTAATGTAGGCCTGCATGAACGAAAAAATAAAATTTCAGTGGAATAATCAAGGTATTTTGCGAACTCTATTTACCTGTAGAAATTGTTTCACTGTTTGCTCGTTTTTTTAACGATTTTTATTAATCAATCGTTGCGAAGGATCGCTAAACTCACTCGTTCGCTGCGCTCACTCGTTTGCTAAAAGTGATCGTTCACAAATTATAATCTATTATATAATACCTTATAATATATAATACGTACCAAATTGTCGAAAAATCATCGGCTAATTACGAATACGACATGTTGGATAGAATTTTTCATTTGATTAACCGTGCAACAGAACGTAGATTTTTCAACTATATAATCGTTTTGCTCCATCGTGCGGTTTCGCGGCTTCGATTAAACTTAATTCGATCAATCTTGTTTGGACTGTTTGAGTGGGTAATAATTCAATAATCCAATAGTATTAGATGTTTTGCAGTAAATCAGTAAAATAAATGAAAAAATTATCATTCGGCGAAAAATGGAATGTTCCATTTAACTTTCGTCTCGTTGAATGGAATATTTATATTTTCATCTTTCCTCGAATAGTATTCATTATTTGTATGTGCTTTTATAATGGTTTAAGAACTTTCCTTTTACTATATACCACATTTCAGCAGAGGATGCATGGAACCTATCCACAGTTTGGAACCTATCCTGTTAACAGTTTGATTGAAAAGCTTTTGATTACTATTAAAATTAGGATTCAAAAATTACTCACAATTTAGTTGAACCAGTGCCTTTTGTACTTGCCATTTTGTTACATTTTCTGCAATATCAGTTGCATGGTACAGTATACGACAACCTACAAACATTGAAAACGGTGTAATTACATCATTGGAAATGGATCAAACTTGGGCAAACAAATTAATAAGAGAAGATTAATAGGATTGAAGAGATTTGCTGGTTTTGCGTAAACAGTATGCATAATAATATTAATAAGGCCAATGGAGAGGTATGTTCTTTTTAAACTTTAGGAAAATTGAACAAACCCCGACCATAACAAATCTTTTGTAATCTGGTGCTTTTGATAAAAATTCAAAAAGTTATTTCGAGAGCTTTTCGATATCAGAGCAAATAAGCTGTCCATATTCTAGCAGTAACATTGTGTTGATATCCTTTACTAACATTACGCCAATGTATTTTTTTCTGTTTACCGTTTGGTAATGGTTACTTAAATATATACTTCCGGTGGTTTTTTCATTACATCCACATTACTTTATATTTACATCCGCGAGGAGGTTATTAGGGGTGCACTGGAACCACTTTTTTAAGTTCCAGCCGGAACCGGATCCAACCGGAACTGGAAAAAGTTCCGGCCGGAACCGGAACTGATTTATTAAGCCAGTCGTATGTTACTGCAATAGTCGTATGTTACTGCATATATAGTCGTATGTTACTGCATCAAGGAGAGAGCTCGCAAATGTTAGAATAAAAAGATTGACAAACGTTAAACGTCAAAATGAAGTGTTAGTAGTGTACATTTTCCTTGCGTAGTCCGAATTTCTTCCCACTGTCAGCTTCTGTAAGACACAAAAACGTATCATATTCTATCTCTCTGAAAATAACAGAGTTCCAGTTCCGGCCATGCTTTTTTTATTAGTTCCGGCCGGAACCGAAACTCTGAAAAATCGGGGGTCCGGCCGGAACTAACCGGCCGGAACCGAGTTCCGGTGCACCCCTAGAGGTTATGTTTTCATCTGCTATTTTATGTTGTCTGTCTGCCTAATCTGTGTGTGTGTCATCATGAAAACTTGAAAAATATCAAACGTATTAAAAACGAAAATTTGTGGAAGAAATGGAAATTGCATATATACATGTATACAGTATAAAATATGGGTAAATAGCGATTGTCCATCTCGCTCGATGGAACTAATAGTTGAAGGGCTTTTGTGCATGACAATTTCGAGCGGATGATCATAAATTTTAGTTGATTATTGTCGTTAGGTCTTCTAAACATTTTCAGCCTAGTTCACATATGCCCGCGGTATGCCTGTGGCGTAGCCGGCGACTGTGCGTGCCGTGGGTTTATGGTATATGATACAGTCACCAACATTATCGGTGGTATGCTAGGAAATTTAACTCCACTTCAACTTTCCCAGCATGTCGGTGGCGACATGAGGTGGTATTGCGTCGTCCCTGCGACAATTTTCAATGCGGCATGCGCTTTCCCAACACACCATCGATATGCCATAAGCTCAATATATCCCACAATACAATGGAAGGGGTGAAAAAAGGCGGAGGAATGCCAAAATACGAACATCCAGGATTTTGGCCTGTTTCGACGTAATAAGCATATGTGAACTAGAACTGCTTGCACAAGCTTAGGTAATAATATCAGAATGTTGCGGATTGAGCGGGATTCAACTATCTGAAAAACACAAGCAAAACGTCGACGTTTCAAGCGAAGGTCTTTCGTCGGGAAGTTATTGGCTATTAACTTCCTGACGAAAGGCCATCGCTCAAAACGTTGAAGTTTTGAATTTTTCAAGCAGTTGAAACCTTCCCAATCCGCAGCTTTCATATGTGAACTAGGGGGCGGATCCAGCTCCTTAGCTGACTGATGCATACATAAGACCTCGCATTTGTAGGAGGGTCCGGGGGTATCCTCCCCCGGGAAATTTTGAAATCTAGGACCTCGGAAATGCGATTTCCTGCGTTCTGAGCGAACTCTTTTGTTGCAATTCCTATATCAGAGTCACAAAAATTTTGCTGCATTTTTGGAAAAACACGTAAAAAACTTGAACCTATATCGCAAAAAAAACGTAATTTCTCCACATAAGAAAATTTTTTTTGCTTGTACAAGTGTAATAGCAGCAGTGGCAATAAGTCTCTATTAAAAATAGTCAGTACTGTGCTTTTTGTAGCCTTAACTTTTCTATTGAAAAACATTTCGGCAGAAAATCACGACAACGCAAATACACACATACTGTGAACAAAGGTGTATACAGTGTGCTCCACTAGTTGCATTGCTGGACTCAGAAGACAGTGTTATTATGTTGTTTATGAACCACCTTCCCCTATTAATTTCCAATGTTCCATGAGTAAAATCTTTAATATGCAACTCTGTCTTATGCTGCTAATCTTACTCTGCATGGATAGTGTGGTTGGCATCAGCTGGTCAATTTCATTTGCCCCTAGGCTAGCTGCCTTTCAGATGAACTGCATGGTGAATAGCCCACACTCTGAATAATAAGAATATTGCCTTGTGGCGAGGAAACCAGTAAACTAACACACAACAAACACTGGGTTTAAAATTATATAAATAAATAACTAGGTACACACACGTTTTAAATCAATAGAGACTGTGTGTAAATTAATTTAATGAAGCTATACCATTGTTAAATAAACCAATACCAAACTGTACAATGATAAACATGACATAATTTAATCATATGTCTTCTATCTGTCCCCTTTTGCCTGCCTTTCAACTAATATTAATACAGTACTCCTTTAAGAAAGGTTGCACATTAGTATTGATGAATATTTAATTTTCCCTATATTATCTTGTCAAATATATCCATACATTTATCAATGGTAATCGTAATCCTCAGGGTGGCATGCTGGCTATCCAAAACATAATACTGGGATAATTAGCATTACAAATATATAATTTAATTAAATATATTTTCCAAACTATCCCACTTTTGTGAGCAAATTTCATAATTATAACCTGTATACACCAGTTACAGTATATACAGTATTTATACCGTCCATCATTTTATCATTGATTCTAAGATTAAAATCTGTCAGGAGAATGTCATATGACATATACAGCTTATATCAAATTATATTTGCACAGACAAAGCATATAAACATTCAACTATGGTAGGCGAGCAATCCAAGGTTTTCATCTTTGTTTGCAAAATATCCAGCTAGTGTACAGTAATTGCCGAATAATTCGGGCAATGCAAAGTAAGGCCCCTGTCACAATTAAGGCATGCCAGCTCATTTCCATATAAAATGAAAATGAAATGAAATAGGAGATACCACTGGAAGTTGCAACTTGGAACAATTACCTTTCATGTAAACTCCCCCTTAGTCTTCAACTGTAAACAATGTTGCATTACATCTTTCTGGTCTTTCTAGAATATAGAGCAACAACAGTAATAGACACAAACTGTAATTATTTTGTTATTACATACAAATATATGTTAATTGTGGACCCCATTTTCCACTTTAATTACACACTTCTTGAACTGAACAATTTAGTAATTTACTACCATTTGTAAAAATATAGAAAAATTTAACTTACTTAATTAGGGCCCTCGGTTCGAATGTTCGATCGAGTTTCACATCGTGGGCATAAGATCCCTTCCATTTTTCCACTTGGTAGTAATTGGTTCGACTGTAAATTATTAATTATTTGTTATTCGTCGAATTTGAGGGATTTCTCTTCGCATTATTTGTCTCATTTGCATATACAGTAGTGTTTGCATATCCAAATATCCTTGCCGCCATGACTTGAATCGAATGCCTCGTTACGTCACACTTAGATTTGATTTTGCAATTTGCATCAGTGGACCGATGCGAGCGCCCGCAATCTGCATGCGATGCATCGCTCAGCGGCCAAATCTAACGTGACGTAGGGCTCTAAAACAATAGATTTGATGATGTCACGTTAGATTTCACGCGGAAAAGGACTCGGGACCGATGCATTC